CTGAGTTAAGCAGATGTAAATGCTGTAAGCATGGATTGTACCTGTTTTGGAGAAAGTTACAATTTAACAGACCTTTTGCTGTATGGAATCTGATGGGATCAAGAATTTAGGTGTAGGATAGCTTTGAAGTGAGGGATCCTTAGGACTGTATAACTGCCTACGAACATCCATATATGCCTATTTCACTTATATCCGTATGAGGGTGGCTGCATTGCTGCATGTCCCCAGCAAACACCACATATATGATGGTTGCTGTTTTATAAGAAATTTCTTTATATTAAGCTGGTGAAAGACTTTCTTCAAGGATTCAGTGAAATGCACTTCTAGCTGCCAAGACCAACAGATGCTTCCATGAGTAACTATGCTAGTTACAAAGTCTGTTCAGTAACTGGTTTCATGTTGTCCATGATATAACACAGTCACACTTTCTTAGTTGCTAGGATGCTTTAATTATGACACACAAAACTATCTTTATTGAATTATGTTAAATGTATGTTTTACCCCAAACAAGAGAATAAGCTATAAAACAGGCCTAATATTGTAAGTTCTCTGCGAAAATAGTATATGAGTGAACAGATACAGAGAGTAATAGCTGAAATGTCCATGGTAATGTTCAGAGGGGGAGTCTGGTTAGTATTTGCACTAGCAGTATAGTGTAGCAGCAGTTACTTTATATCTACCTAAAGCCCTGTGCTCTTGGAATTTATTTATACTGTTGTCAAAGCTGCATTCCTGATATTTCCATTTTTCCAAATAAAAAATGTGTAGCAAATCTCAGTAAACAGAGAAAATAGAACTCTGGAATAATGGAAACAAAACTGACCTTACTACTACTTGGTATTATTTTAATCTGTTCAGTGCTGCCTCCAACTGAGTCCCAGGCATTTTTTGCAAAATGAGTTTTTAGCTTTATTTTCAAAAATCATATGTATTTATATACTGTTCTCTGTAAGACCATAGTTCTTTTGCTGGTCTTTCATACCATATTGTGAGGGATTTACAGGGTTAAATAAAGTTAAGATAAATTTGCTTATGAAACAGCAGTGTTTTTTACTTAATACAATTATTTAAATGGTCAGTAATATTCCAAAGGTGAATACAGTAATCAAAACTTTGTTAATATGCTATAATTCAATGCAAATAGCTTATACATACTCTTCCTTGTTTTTAATTGTTAGACGTTTGGAGGCAAAATAATAGCTTCCTGTTAATAAATGTATAGTTAGCCCTTCTTTTCTTTAATAGCATTTTGCAGATTGTAGGTTTAAAGATTAATTGTGTTGCAGCTAGGATTTCACCTTCTCTCTGCAAAAAATTCACAATTAATAAATTATTCTCCAGCATTCCATGACTAAAAAGATAGCATCTTCTTTATAATTACTGTAGTAAGCGTATAGTCTATGATCTAGCAAAGAATACATGCATATGTTTTAATTCAAGGATGTGAGTTGTCTCATTGACTTCAGTGAGACTACTTAGGCTTAAAGTTAAATAATACTTTAAGCATTTTACTGAACTGTGGCCATTATCAGTAGTTCCTCTGTTCCAGTTTGTCTGATTTAAGTAGAGAATGCTTTTTCAGTTCCCAAGGAAGCAAGTGAAATTTTAACCTTTGACTTTATTGGAAGTAGAATTGAAATGATTAGTATAGGAATAAGTAGACTAAATAGCAATGTTTTATGTATCTCCGCTCTACACTGGAGTCTCCTCAGAACTATCTCCGTCAGTATGCTCTTTAATTTTTGTTCCAAGCTCTGAAGGCACCTGTTTGTGTAACATATTGAGCAAGGATTTTCTGAAAGATTTGCAAAGGAAAAAATAGATAAATGGATCTAAGCAGGCATTTAGAGATGTTAACCAGAGGGTGCTCTCTTTCATATAAAACAATGTGTTTTGAGCAGAGCATTCAAAAACATCTCTTGTTTGACTCAAGGTGTAGGGGATTCTGGTAAAATGGAATGGAACAAAACAAATAAAGAACACTGCAATAATAATAAAAACTTTCAAATTTACTGTCTTTCTAGAAACTTTCCCTGTGCATTTTGTTCTCTTATATGATTTGTACAGTTCTTTACTTATGAGCATGTAACATACCACTATGATAATCAAATTAACCCAGAAGATTAATTGGCAGATGTAGTTCACAATTTCATGCCATGTTAACCCAAAATCGGATTTCAAGAGAGCGCATTTCTTCACTTTTTCACGTGTCTGTTCCTTATTTGTCAAAATCATGTTAGGCAGGGAGAGAGCAAACATTGCTATCCAAATGACCACAGACAGAATCTTCGTGGCAAGAAGGTGGTTTGATGTTTTAAATGGTGTGACAGTTTTCTGGTAGCGGTCAATAGTTATTAGACCCAGAAACAAAATGTTGATATACATGGTGAAGTAAAATATGACTTGGGACACCCGACAGACGAATCCCCTCAATCTCCAAGGTGCCAGTTTTGCATCGCTAAGAATTTTGAATGGAAAGGTCAGGATCATGAAGATATCCGAAATTACTGTATTCTTAAGGAAGATGATGAAATTAGATTTACTGGGGATTTGGAAAAAAACCCACATTGCCAGGCCATTCATGACAATGCCCACAAGAAACAGAATTGTATAGAGCACGGGGAACAGAACTTTACTGAATTGGTTGTTGCTGGTGCAGTTGATATCAGTTCTGGAGGAGCTCAAGTTGTAAACAGCTTTCATTTGTAGTTTGATATCTTCCCCCCTCTGTTAGAACAGAAAAGATGAGGATTACTTTGATATTCCTTTTATGAATATTATTAGGATTTATGTTAGCATAATTAATTATATTTATCATTTCACATGGATGACAGACTTACAGATAAAGTGCCAAATTCAGGGGTGACAATGGTTTATATTAGTCAGTCTTAATTTACACCGACTCTAGAAGATCTTTTAATTTTGATAGATTTGGATTCCCTTAAACCTTCTGAGGGCATGTCTGTAATGAATTGCAGCACTTTTGGCATAACAAAACCAGTATGGGTACCCGATAAGGATGGTGTCATGGTGGTAAAAGCTTCAAAGTGGGTAGTAGAAGTCAGTGCAGGTTTCAGTGTGTGTTTACATAGTTTGCAAAATTAGATAGTTTTCATGTTGTTTAGCATTAGTTAGATTCAGTGCATCTGCTAAGGGTGTGAGTAACTGATGCTGGTGCAGAATCAAATGGATCTAAGTCTAAATCGGGGGTAGGTAATTATTTGGGTTGGAGAGTTTCTTAGGGACTTTTGGTGAGCTTTTGTGGGCAGGGGGAAGGAGGGGCATGACCTGGCCCAGCTTGCAACAGCTCACCAGAACTCCCTAAGTGGCTCTGCCCCAGTTCTCTGAGCAGGGGCATGCTGGGAGCAGATTATGGCTCTGCCCCAGGACCTGGCCCTGTGCTGTCTTCACCCAGTGATCCCAGCCCTGGGGTCTCAATGGAGACTGGCCCAGGACCCCTATGGGCACGGCATGCTTGGCCAAGCAGATGGGATGAAGCCATGGACAAGTGGGGAGCCACATCTTGGAGGTGGATGGGCTCATGGGGCAGTGACACTGGGGGGCCACTAGCAGGGCTGCAGTTTGCTCCCAGCGTGCCCCTGCCTGTGCAACCAGTGCCTGTCACAGTGATGTGTGGGGATTGGATCATGGCTTTGCCCTGGGTCCCAGGCCAGTGCTGTGAACCGCCCCACAACCCTGGCCCCACCCACCTGTTCTGTTCCTGGAAGCTGCTCCCTGCCTGCCTGCAGCCCCATCCCAGTCAAGTGTGCTCTGCCCACATAGGTCCCAGGCTGGTCCCCATGGAGAGCCTCACCTGCCTGCTCTGTGTGGTGCCCCCAGCGGTGGCTGCAGGGTGGATGGGCCAGGGTACCCTGGCAGCAGGGCCAGGTCCCGCAGTGGCAGTGACACTGGCAGTGGTAGTCAGAAAGAACCACTGCCACTGGGGCTGCTGGGAAGTAGAGTCCAGCTGCCCCAGTCCTGCTGTGTCATAGGGGTGGTGGGACTGGTCATAAATGCCACAGATTGAGCTGCACCCCTGGGCCATGCAGGGCTGAAGAACCTGCTGCAGGCTATATAAAATCCCTTGGTGGACCAGATGCATCCTGTGGGCCATTTTTTGCCCATCCTGGTCTAAGTGATGGGATGTACAGGTAGAAGGCAACAGAAGAAGGTATATGTCATGCTGTGAGACTCCTCTTTCTGAATTTGTCCCACTGTGTATTCCTTTTGGGAATGCCACTTATATGACATGTTTCCTAAAATGGGTATTTTGTGGAGAAAGGTTAGCTCATCTTTTCTGTATTGTTTATGCCACCTTGTGGATAACACAGACAATGCACTCCAAAGAGACTGGGAAACAGGAGTTTTGGATATGACTGAACTTTCAACATCACAAATGAGTCCAGGAGCCAGGACTCTTATTTAATTTTGGCTTCTGACCACATTTTTTTCAAATGGGGAGGGGAGAAAAGAACCACATTAATGCAGGGATGGGAGTAGTTGCTTTTTGGGGGTAGTCTAACAGTGATGATTGGATAAACAGCTAAAAGAACAGTACATTCACAAAAATTTCTGCCACCTTTTCTTTTTTCTCCACTCCCCCCTCCTCCATACTTCTGCCACAGTCCTTAAGTTCCACAACATTTATAGAGCTTTGGGTTTATCTTTTGCTACAGTTTTATTTTTTGGATTGATGTTTTGATTTTTTTTTTTTTTTTTTT